TTTTTTTTTTTTTTTTAGTTTTGAAACAGCAGTTACTTTTACAATTTGAAGAGTAACTATTCTATTCAAATTTTTAAACAGCAGCATACAGTCACTGCTAAAGATAGCCTTCTGTTTTTGTAAATTTCGAGAACGATGATGAAAGCTTGACGCACAGTTTAAATCAAACGACAAACAAGTGACAAGAACGAAAAGCATTTTATGTCAAACTGTAATTTGTCTCAAAACTTTGACCAAGATTTTCTGACAGTTTTTTAGTGAGAGTGTTAGAAAAAATGGAAAAATTATTGAAGAAATTTTTAATTTTTTTCAATTTTTATTTGAACATTTGAAAACACAAAATGCGTTTCTTAAAAATTTAGAGCTTCAGAGAAAATTTTTAATAATTTTTTTTAAGGTCTTTTACGTGTTTTACTTTTATAATATTAAACCTGTTTATCGCATTCCTCATCATCTAGGCCAACAATTATAGCAGCAAATAACATCGTATTTGTTGTTGCTTAAAAATGATAAAGCAAGCTCATAGCAATATGACACTGGTAGAGAAATCCACGAAAAGAAGTTGAAAATTATTTAAATGACAGGCTTTTTCGAAGTGAATCTTTAAAAGGCGCATTTTTTTGCAAGCTACAACATCTAGGATCTTCGACGTGAGTGCCGCCGAGCTAGACAATGAATATCAGTTGGGGAAGACTTATTAATGCTTTACAAAATAGTTCTGTATCATTAAAAACATTGTTGCACAAGTGCATCAATTTCTGTCGTGAGAACAGGTTTGGAAAGCTTTATTTGTCAGTTAGGTTTAACTTGAAATAGGCGAATCAGGTTATGCAAATTAAAGCGTCGACCATCATATTTTTGTGCTGAATGGAGCCAAAATTGTTGGTCTGATAAAATGCACTGTTTGACCAAAGGTTTTTATCAAAGCTAATGTTGAATAACTTGCTTGAACAGCGTGCAAAGCATGTCCCAAAATCTCTTTCGGAGAAATTGTAACCTAATAGGTGGGAGCCCGCTACTTTTTGAACTAAAATTTCTATCAATTTTTTATTTTTGTAACAGTATTCTTACTGCCACAGAGATTTGGAAACTCAACGTTCAAATCAATATTTTGTCTGTGTCGACTAACTAAATTGTGGTGGTCCCTTTCCAGTGTCAATTACTTATTTGTCTCTTTCGCGTTTTAATTGTTTTCTCCCACCTCTGTGTATTTTAAATGTGACCCAGAATTACTGTCTTGTTCTTTCAGCTAGATTACTGCTCAAAATAAATACTTGACTAGTAGAAAGAAACCTTTATTAAATCAGCTGTAGAGGGGGAGAAGAAAGACATGCTGTCGCTAAATAGAAGCGAAATGGTCAGAAAGTGCAAATTACGATCAAGGCCAACAGATCGGTCAGATGTAAACAAGCTGATTCAAAACTGTAACCTGAGAAACAGTCGCAACAAAAGAGTAAAGGGTCAAAAAAATGAGTCATCGAATAGCCTCTGAAAGCTGTAGTAATAACAACTTACTGGAACAGACCGGTACAACTGGGATCTCAAGTCTTGAGTTACAATATTACATAAACTATTTTATTTATAATTGGGAAGGCTGAGAGTTGCATTATTTTTACATAAACATTAAAAACTGTACACAAGAAAACTAATATTGTAGAAAGAAACACTGTCACTTAAACTCTCTCTCTCTCTCTCAAAAATTCCCTCACTCCTCCTCGACTTTTTACACTTTCTTGTAAGGAGTTAATAGTTCTTGTTAAAATCTCTTGGATAAATTTGCAACAATTTCTGTTTTGTTCTGTTCCACTCTACTATCATAATTTGTGAACTAATAAAATTTTTATTGCGGATCTCGGTATTTTTACTGCTTACAAAATGACTCAAGCAGGCTTTATTCCTCTAACACCACAATTCTAAAAGTCAACCAGTTCTGCGACACATGCTGCCTTCTTTCCTTCATTGCCCTCCCATCTCCATTTGCTGCTCTGCCTTACACTAGCCCTTCTTTTAAATTCCCCACCAAAAGCAGCAAGCTAGCCGATCAGGGAGCTGGAAGCGCCAGCGTGCAAAATGAATAATTCTAGTACTATTTTACCGGAATCCCTATTTACGAGCAATTAATGTTGATATACTTTGTCTTTTTCTGTCGTGCAGAACTTTATTAAATTTTTGTCTCGTAATAGCTTCAAAAGTAGATTTCAGCTTAGTTAAGCTGCACGGTTAAAGTGTGAAACACTTTGTTGTGTTAACCAATTCTCGCAGACCAATGTTAACCTTGATAGTAACGTGCTCGTTAATATACTAGCACTGAGTATGAAAAAATTTCAGTTTTACATTTTACACTTGGAATAACTATGTAATATTGAAATAGAGAAGCTGAAAATACCGAGGTTCGTGGCAAAACAAATAGTAAAGAAATAAACAACTGCGAACGTTTGAATAATCTATCAAAGGTGAATAAAGAAATTTAACGTTCTTGTCGAGAACGTTTACCAGATAGAAAGTTATGTATATAATAAGTCAAGTTCTGAATGGCGCTAATGAAAGAGCAAGTATTTTGTCGGTAAAATTCATTAATTTAAAAGTGAGTGCGTCGAAAACATTTGCAATTGTTTATTCAAAATGAAATTGCCAGTGCATTCCATGAGCTTGCTGCACCAAAGAAACCACTAGCAAACAACGGTGATAAGCGTGTGACTATTTTAATGCAACAAAACAAGAAAAAACTAATTCAGTAGTCTTACCTCCCAAACGTCTTGTGTGTTTACTTCAGCATTGTTTTTTATTAACAGTTTTACCACATCTATATGGCCTTTCTTAGATGCAATACACAGCGGTGTCTTCTGCAGCAAAAAGATAATTAGTTTCAAATGTTAGCGATTTTACGCAGTAAACGAGATTTTTATATAAATTTTTTCAAGTTAATTTTTGGAAACTTTAGTTTTTGTCTAGTAAAGCAAAAAAAAATTAGAAGCATTTAACAAGTCGTTTTGCTGTCACATTCTCGATTTGAAAAAAAAAGCTAGTTTGAAATTGTTGAAAGACACATACGTAATTTTTTATATAAAATCTTACCTCATGTTTCCCTTTCGCATTCACATTTGCACCTTTCTTTAAAAGAAGTTTAACCACTTTTATATGTCCCTCTGAGGATGCTACCCATAATGGCGTTGACTGAAGTTAGAAACAATCATAAACAAACAAAAGTATGACTTAAATAAAGTTTTAAGATAGCTGTATTCTGCTTCTCTTTCGCTCAACAGTCTTATTAAAAAGAAAGGGAAAGCTGAAATTTTTTGGCTTGATTGCCAACCAGCGCTTTTAAAGAAACCCTGCTTTCCAAAAAAGACACAGAGTCACCAGTCTACTTTAAGTGATGCAACCTGAATGATTCAGCAGTAGTTCAGTAGCATTTTATTACTCGGTCTGCTAACAAGCAACATCGGTAGAATGGCTCTTGTCAAAAAACCCTCCAATAAAGGTAATCGTCAAATATCAAAAATTTGAGAAGTAAAGAAAAGCAGATAAAAATGAAACATAATTGTAGGCAAACAATAAAGAGGCTCAAAGAATACGCATAGGCTGTTGTATATTGTTTAATTACTAAAGGGTATGATTCAGAAATAAGCTGAAGTAGACATGTAAAGCGCGTGCAAAGGGGTGTGAGACAATATTAGACCAAACTGCTTCATTTCACTAGTACTTTTTCCAACCGAAAGTTTAAGGATAACATCAGTGTTCTTTTTGTTAAGAAGAAAAACAGTACGCGAAGTCATTTTTTGTTTTTTACAATAGTTGCTTAAATGATGCTTTGCCTGTGAACTGTTCTCTAGTAAAAGACATAGACGTCGTTAATTAATGTCTGTAAGATTATTTCATAAGCCAGCTGTAAAACTAACACAACTAGTTAAAGTAGCAAAACTGTTGATGATAAGTTTTCTCTCTTTGTAGTACTCAACCGATTACCTTCTTAAAATATCTTACAAAAAAAACGGTAAAAGTTTTATTATAAGTCCTTTTTTAATTGGTAAAATTTAAAACATTTATCAGTTTCTTTTCTTCTTGAAAAGCAATCTAAGAACACTTCTACTCCAATGTTTGGCCAATTAAACACTTGAAACACTTCTATTTTTTCTAAATTAAAAAAAATAAGCTAAATAACTTTTTCTATTTTCTGTATTTTTTGCTTAACGTGTTTGAGCAGGTTAATCAAGTCGCACATCAAAACGGTGAGAAGGTGTCTCTCATTTTTTTTGAGAAGCTCTATGAAATATCATGCAGCTTACTAAAAATGCGGTCTTTTGACCAACTTTTTTAGCATAATAGACCCGCCAGGCCAAAAAGTATCTCTAAATAATTCCAGACTTTTTCTATGCTTCCCAGTCAGGTCTTTACTTTCTCTCTTCAAGCTGCTTATTAATGATAATTTCAACACTGCAGTTAATAAACAAATAAGAATAAGCAACAACGCATAACGAAGCTTATTTAGGCTAGTGGCATCATTTAGACTGCAGCTGGCAGCATTTGAGCTATATCTCACTGCTAAATCTGTTGACGCGTAGCACTAGTATGGTTTATCAATCAAATGAGCCTTTTTATGAATATGACTGTTCAGGTGTCGAAGAATTTCTGTGGTATGCTACAGTGGCACAGAAGTTGACGACTGCATTTTACGAATATACAGGAAGAACGTATGTAAGCTGTTGTACACTATTAAAGCAATGAAGAATTTGATGCCTGAACAGTTGGCGCTATGAAACCAAGAGGGTCGAAACATCCAACTTATAATGGATCAAAATGGTTCAAATTTGGATCAAATTGCCCAACTCACCGACAGCGATATTTAGATCTGTGCCTTGAGAGCACAAAAGCAGCTTAAGTTTTGCAATAGCGTCCTCTTTGAAAAATCTTATCAAAACTGGTCTGCGCCGAACGAAACATTGGCAAAACGAGAGACTTTTTCAGAACCTATGCTTTTTGAGGAAGAGCTACGGCAGCATAAAACTGGGAAGTTTGAGGCTAAACATGATAAAGCTTGCACCACATCTCACTAAGATGATGGAGTATTTTATGTTACGTCTAAGCAGTTTTTGCGCGGTTAGGCAGAGGAGAGAGAGGAGGAGCAAGCTTTGTGAGTTTCGTTTCCTTCGCTTATTTTTTTTTAATCTGTACTCGTTCTGTACTCGTGTCCTAAAAAGTCAATTTTGTTGTTTTCTTGAGCTTTCTCTTCTTTTTTTTTTTCGCAAAAATGCTCACATCAATTGTCCCACAATTGAAGAGGCCATTTGATGTGTGGTCAGTTTGGTGAACCAACTAATTCCACTTTCCTCGAAACTCGGAAGAAAACTTGCTAAAGGTTGTCAACTTTTGTGTCTCATATATATTCGACTGCAACCAACTCAAGGCAGGTTGCGTTGGCTGTGCGTTCAAGAACTAACAAGGAATCTCCCACTGTTACCTGTGAGTCAGGCACACTGTATACGGAATACATTATTATGTTAAAAAAGTGGGCTTTCATTTGGCATTTTTTCCTTCAGTGAATCAACGTGGTGGGGTCACCATTCTAAATGAAAGCTCACATAATTCTTCATAAAAATTTGATGTGCTTTTGTTGTTGTTCTTAACATTTAGAACACTTAATTTGATTTAATAAGTTTAATTAGAAAAAAATTCTGCTAAATTTTTTAATCGATTTAACCAAATCTTTGAGAAAAAAAAATTTTATAATTCTTTTTACAAAAAACTACCCCGTTTTTATCTGCAGCATCAACGCTTGCTCCTTTATTTAATAAGTACTCTAACACATCTGCGTGCCCTTTAAATGATGCTAACCACAACGGTGTCTCCTGAAGTTAAAAACAATTATTTTTGTTGCTACATTCTGAGGTTTTTATATCTGAAGTTACTTATAATGCTAAGGTCTATGTTTCGAATAGGAACAATAAACAAAAAACTACTGAAAAATTATCATTTTAAAGCCTTTTTAGGTCACTTAAATACACACAAAAGCCTTACGTTTTGACGCTAAGTTTTGATATGAAAACTTCAAAAAAGGTGTTCTAATTTAAGGCTAATACAATAAACGCAGAATTCTCATTATTCTTTTCTAAACGTCAGAAACTGACTTTTAAACTTTTCATGTTTTTTTTAATCATAACCAAATAATTAGTAAATGATGCATACAGTTAGCTCAACAATCTGTTCATCCAAAGTCGGAGCCTCTGTTGGAAAATCCTAAAAAAAATAACAAACTTTTCTTGATACAAGTTTTTGAAAATTTACGTTCAACACTCTTTCACTTTTTTTACTTTGTCTTTTGATCAATAGTTAATAATTTCAAGCACACAGTTAGCACACTGACCTGTTCCTCAGAAGATGCGGCCTTTTTTGGCAAACTCTGAAAAAAAAGAACAAATTGTTTTTAAATTAAACTTTTTAAAACTGAATTTATACAAAATTAGTAAAATCAAAATCAGTTAATAAGCAGAAGTTTTTTTTAATTACTCGGTTGTATAACACTGTATACTTGACAAAAAAGGTATTTTTGAGAAAACTGTAGTA